GTGGTACGTGGGCAAGAGAGCTACATAGGGTCCCTCCCGGGCCTCAGACAGCCCTCCCTTCCCATCTGTAGCAGAGGCTCAACGCTTGGCCACTGAGTGACCCTGGCACTGCTAGGACCCTCCCAATCTCCTCCTGACTGGAGTGGGAGGCAAGGGTGCCCCCGTGGCTACCCCGCTTGCGACCTGTCCGCGGGAAGCACGGGTCCCAGGAGCTCTGCCGTGGAGAGGCCCAGCACGGCAGCCTCTGGGGAGGAGGGCTGCAGCCCCTCGGGGGCATCCAGGCTCCCACCCTGAACCCACTGCTGGCCCGGTCCCCAGAGCCTGTTGGGTCATGTCTATATTTGGTAACCCTTGGAGGCTTTGCCTCATCCACAGGCATTTGGCATCAGAGATGGAAAATTTCACTTGTCGGGTCGCCATGGAAACAAGCAGAGCCACTGAGAAGATTTACGCTGAATGGAGCGCACCCAGCTTGCATCAGATGCCCTGTGTGTCTAGAATTCCCTCCCAAGCTGTTAGACCCCCTCGGCAGGCCTGGCGCCTCGCCCCCCGCCAAAGGTCTCGGGCCTTTGCCCTTGCAATGGATGCAGGCAGCCTTGAGATGGGCCTGCCCGGCACTCTGGACCCCTGACCCGAGCCCCTGTGCCCTCCGTCTCCCAGGGTCTAGGCCACCACCACCCCTCCCACCTGACCTGGTCTCTCCAGGGGCTGGGCGTGGGGCCCCTAATGGGCTGTCGGCCTCAGGCCGCTGGAGGGGCTGGGAGCCCCCAGCAGGTGTGGCCTCCAGGCCAAGGCCCAGCTCCTGCCCACCCTGCCCCTTTCCCCAGACGGCAGCGCTCAGGGGTGGAGGGCTGGTCCCTGTCCCAGCTGCTCCTGGTGCCACCGGGTAATCCTCAGGGGAAGGCACTCAGCGCACTGAGTGTCCCAGGGAAGCGGGAGCAGCTGCAGAGTTAGGTGTGCATTTTATTCCCTTGGCCGGAGCACCTCTATCTCCTGGGAGTCGGAAAGGCCCTGACGCCACACCTCGCTTTGCTGCCTTGGCCTCTGCTGGCCTTTGCAGTGTCCAAAGGGTGTTAGGGTCACCCTGGCAGCCACTTAGGAGGGAAGGTACAGCTGAAATTGAGAAGGAGGCAGGAACGGCTGCTTCCCTGTGACCTCTGGGCCAGGCCACAGCCCCTGTGCTGCTGAGGGCCAGTCCCTTCTCAGAGCTCTGCCTGCTGCATCTCCTCATATAGGAACATCCTATGGAAAAGGAAGGCAGGCTCAGAGTAGTTGGACTCCTCCCTGCGCTCCCTAAGCCAGAACAGAGCAAGTCTGCAGAGGAAAGCTGGGGGAAATGAGGCTTTCCCCCAGATCTCCCATGGTCAGAGTCAGGAAGTCTTGAGCCAAAGGGCTGAGGCCTCTGGGTCAGTGGATGGTTCACAGGCCTGGACTGGATCTGGTCCGAGCTCTGCTGCGGATTTGCTCTGTGACCTCAGGCAAGCCCCATGCCCTCTCTGGGCCCTTGGTTTCTTCATCAGTAAGTGAGCATTTGGACTGAATGGATCCTTGAGGTTCCGCTCAGTCTTCAAGGCTTTGGGTTCCCAGCCTTTCTTTGCAAGGACCTAGGAAGAGCTGTCATAGAAAAAGGCAGCAGAGCCTTGGGCAAGGAAGGGGCCTCAGGAACAGCTGGGGGCAGGGTCAGGTTGCAGGGTTGGGCACAGAGGGACAGCTCCTGCCCTGGAGAGGGGGCTGAGGACAGTCTCAGCCCCGGGAGAGGCGGGCAGCTGGAAGACAGCGTCAGGTTGCCTGACAGGCCCGTGTGCCGGGAACAGCTGGGGGAGTCTCTGCTCCTTGCCCATCCCCCCCTTCTGTGCACTCAGGGTGCCAGCAGGACTAGGGAACCCTGGCCCTCGGCTCGGGCTTCTGGGCCACTCCCCAGGGACCGTCTCCTCAGTGAGGCAAGAGGGAGCCTCTGAAGGAGAGGCTGGTGACAGGTGCGTGGGTGCGGTGGCAGGAGAGAGGGCTGGCTTTGGGTTCTGGAACCCCAGCTCTGTGCTGCTGGCTGGGTGTCCCCTAGCCACTCACTGCCTGAGGGTTGCTATAAACACACAGAGAACATGAAGGCCTGAGCAGCGGCCGTGCCCACTGTGACTAGCAGGGAGAGGCCCAGCCTCAATGCTCAGTGGAGTCCCCGTACCCATGGACATACCCCTCCCTGCTACCAAGACTTGAGGCCAGGAAGGGTCTGCCCCAAAGGGACGCTGAGTCATGGGGGGGAAGGACTTCTTGCCTCCGTTAGGGCCCAGAGAGCAAGGTGCGGCCCAGTCCTCCCGACGCCTACCCTCACGTGGCTACATCTGTGCACATCACCCTGGATTTGCCATCCATGCTGGCATCTCCCTGGAAACCCCTAATCTCAGTTTCCCTCCTCTGGATCTAATGCAGAGAGTGTTGCGGAGAGGAGCATACAGATCCGTGGGTGCCCAGCCTCAGACAGCACATTTCAGGATCATCTCTGGGCTGGGGTAGCATCTGGCCACCCTCTGGCGTTAGGGCTCCAAGCTGCAGGGTGTCCTTCAGCATCCTCAGGAGCGGGAGTTGCTCTCTTGGGGCAGTAGCACCCGGGCCACAGGTTACTAGGACAGGGATGGCCCTTCCCCATTCCCAGGGGAGTTGAAAGCAGCCAGAGACCAGAATGCTGCCCGCAGTCTGGCCCCCTAGAGCGAGCCCCACCCAGCTCGTTTTGATCTTTGTTGAATTTGCCTGAGTCCCAGCTCCAGAGGCAGGGCCTGAGGCCCAAGAAAGAAGCAGCCACGGCCACAGTCCAAGGTGTTGTCAGGTGGTGTGTCTTTAGCAGGAAGGGACCAGGCTGAGTAGGGGTACAGGGGCCCACTTCCAGGCTCCAGATGGCATCCCAACCATGGGAAGAGTTCCCAATGCCCCTGGTCCTGGTGGCTGGTCAGAGATGGCTTTCAGGCTCTGACCATTGGTGGGCTGCGCCTTACCAGGAGCCAGGCTCGTTGGCGAGGGTTCCATTTGGGTGAAGCACCATTGTGATTCACCCAAATGGAATGAGCTGCTGGGCCCCGCCTGGCCTTACCTCAATGGGACAGAGTTGTAGCCACAGTGGGCACCCATCGGGTACCTAGGCTGGGGCTGGGCATCAGGCCAAGTTCTTCATGTCCAGTATGGAGGAATCCTCACCCATGGGGGGGCTCCTGTGGCAGTACCCCCTTACAGAGGAGGATACTGAGTTACCTGCCCAAGGTCAAGTGTCTAGGGGGTGGTCGTGTTACAGTTGGGTCCAGGTCTGTCGAGCTCCTGTGCTCAGCTGCTACCTGGACCTCTCCTGCCATATTGGGGTCTTTTCATGAACTCAAAGGGCCCAAGGATTCTCTGCTTAGCTGATCAGCCCACAGCCTTCATGAGATCCCTTACCAGGGCCACCAGGCCTCAGGGCCTGGAAGCAGATCCTTCCCAGCCCACAAAGATCTGCTTCCAGTGAGGCCAGAATGAGGGAGAAGCAGAGTCTTTTCTTGGGACTCTCTGCTGGGGTGATGATTAGGAATGGGACAGGGGCCCAAGTGGATCTAGTCCCCCGGGGCAAGCTCAACACTGGGCTTGAAGGGGGCAGCAGGGCGAATGCATTGCCCAGCTATAGGGAGCATCAGGCCCGTGGCAGTTGTGCAGTGCACAAGCTGTGAGGCGGTACAGAGCAACTGCGGAGAGTGCTAGCAAGAGGAGTTCCCGGAGGCATCACCTGCCCAGTGGGGAGACCAGCTCTCCTTCCGCAGGGACAGAGAGTGACTGCAGGCCTCTGGGCCCCAACATTCAAAAACAGATGTCCTGCCAAGTTGAGGGCCAGTAGACTTCAGCCACCCCTGTGGTCCCCGGCCCTAGCCCTGCCCTAAAGAAAGGGCCAAGCTGCCTCCTCCCCCTTCTCCCTGGACCCTGTTCCAGGCCCCAGCTGGCTTCCTGGCTGGCTCCTAGCCCTGGCTTTCACCCCAAAGGGAGCCACTCATAAACAGGAAATGCTTCCCGATGTGATGCCTGCTCTGGGCACCGTTGCCAGCCCACAGGCTGAAGGCCCTATCCAAGCAGCAGTGTTGACTGGTCCCACCAGCTGTGGGGGAGGGGATGCTCATAGGGCTCCCTGCTCTTTGGGGCTGACTGCTGGGGACCTACACCTGGACTCCCCGAGGTCGAGCTCCCCCAGCCTGTGGCCCTGCTGTGGCTGATGCTTCCCCGCTCCAGCAGCCCCATCATGTGCTGAGACACTGACGCTGAGCCCTTCTGCTCCCTTTCCCCAGAGACGGTGTGAAGGCAGCCCCCAAGTCACAGAAAGCAGACTCCCCGAGCATCGACTACGCCGAGCTGCTGCAGCACTTTGAAAGGGTCCAGAAGAAGCACCTGGAAGTGAGGCACCAGCGGAGTGGGCGTGGGGATCACCTGGACCGGAGGGTTGTCCTCTGATAGGCCTGGCCTGGGGAAGGGCCCAAGGAGTGGTCCCATGGAGCACTTGGGGTCTTCAGGCCCCCTCCCCACAGAGCCCGAGGACCTGCCTCAGGGGCAGGGCTGGGCCTGGCCACCAGCGCAGGGCAGGGTAGGGGACTGGAAGCTCTGTCCACCCAAGCTCCTCTCACAGGCCCTCCAGCGCAGTCAGCTGCACTCTGGCATTCAGACAGAGCTGGCTTCCTGCCAGGGTGAGGCCGCAGCCTCAGACGCCCCCATTTTCTGGAATCGGGTTCTTTCTAATGCCCTCTTGTAAAAGAGCTTGACCTCCCCAGTGCACCAGAGCTCTGGCCTCCTGTGGATGTGTGTGTACATATGTGTATACACATCTGTGCACACAGGGACCAGCACAGAGGTCCATATGAATGGCGTACCCTCTGTCCCAATAAAGAAACGCAACCCGTGCCTGGCCTGCTCCTTCCCACTGATGCCTGCCCCCGCCTGGTGCTGCAGTTGCCCCAGGACCTTGCTGCCTGTCCTAGAGATTTGTTCTCATGGTGGTCCCAGGAGTGCTGGCTCTGCCAGGAGAGGCTGGTCGCTCTCTGCACACTCACCTGACGGGTGTGGGCCTTGGGCCCAGCCCTTACCTCTGTAGAACCAGCCCCTTCTTCCTGGAGAGCACAAAGCACTGGCCTGGCCCCCTGAACCCTGCCTTCTCAGGCACCTAATCTGACTTTTCCATCCTGACAACCCCCCGCCCGGGGGGCATGGGACATGTCCCCATTAGACAGATGAACTGAGCCTCAGGAGTTTCTGAATGAAGGGGCACACTGCAGAACGTTCCAGGTCACTGGGGATGGAGGGGAAGGCCCAGACCAGTGCAGGGAGTTGGGCGGGGCAGGGGTTGGGCTTCCCACATCCCCACCCCTTGATTTGGCTAAATGAGCCTTAGCTCACCAAACCTATAAGCCAGAGTCCACCTGACCCCAGGCTTTGGGAAGCCTCGGATTGGCCTATGATCTCCCAAGTGGCTCTTGTGGGCCCCTGGAATAGAAGAGAAGGATCTTGTGCGGGCTTTTCCTCAGAGCCCCAGCATAGGGCCGGGAGGGTGGGTTTCCCTGCCTGGAGTCTCCAGAACAGGATGACAGACTGAACTCACCATGGCCAACGTACACACACATGCATCCTCATACGTGGGTACCCTGGCGTCAGAGACGGGACAGTGGCCCACCTCTGTTCTGCTGGTCCCACATGGCCCCAACCGGAGGAAAGAGGTTGCTTGAGGACTAGTACACCGCCACCCCCAAAGGCCCGGCCTGGGGCACCCCATGCAGGTGGCATCGGCACTGGCACTGCTTGGAAAAGGAGCCACAGAACTTCCGGAGGAGGGTCCAAACCCTTCTGTGCCGGGGATAAAACGTTCCAAGGCGGGTGGCTTCCAGGGCACTGTGCGCCCCTGCTGAGGGTGGTGTAGCCGTCCCACGGGATGCGCCCCGAGGACCCCAGCCTGCCCCCCTCTTCTTAAAGCGCGGGAACACCCACCCCCCGACACACACACACCGACACACACACACGCACCCCGACATACACACACACACACACCGGCCAGAGACCAAAGGCTGGAGTGGGTGGTGGTGTTGGGCACCTTCCCGGAGCGGGCACCCAACCACTGGTCCCACTCCCGCGGGCAAGCCGGGCAGCCCCGCCCCAGCGCCGCCCCCGAAGCGCGGTGGCGCCTGCGCCTGCCGGGCCCTCTAGCCCGACCAGTTCGGCCGCGCCGGGGCTCGGATTTCAAAGCCCGGGCTCCATTCCTGGTGAATGGGCCGGAGCTCGCCCGGTCTTTCCCACAGACCCCTCCCGCCACGGCCCTGCCCCTCCCCACGGCCCTCCCTCCGCGCATCCACGTGACGTCCAAGCCTCGGCGGCTCGGATTACGGACGCCGCTCCAGTCCCTGCGCCGCCCGCCAGCCCCGCCGCGACATGGCCCGCGCCGCCCCGCGGCGGCCCGCGATCCCCGAGCGCGGCGCGGCCGGCCGCTGAGCGCAGCCCGGAGGCTGCAGGCCCGACCCGGCCTCGGAGCGAAAGCCGCCGCGGCCTGGGTCCCCTCACCCAGCCTGCGCCCCGCCGCCGACGCTGCCGCCCGGCCCGAGCATGGAGACGGCGGAGAAGGAGTGCGGCGCCCTGGGAGGGCTCTTCCAGGCCATCGTCAACGACATGAAGGTAACAGGGCGCGGCGGGGCTGGCCGCCCTGCGGGCGCGCGGGTGCTTGTGCGGGTGCGTGCCCCCTCTGGGGACGCGTGGCGGCGGGCAGCCGTGCCCCGCTGTGTCCGTGCGCCGCCGTGTCTGTTTGTCTGAGCGCCTCTGGCCTGCGACTGCCGTGCGCCCGGGTCTCTGGGTGCCCGTCTTGGGGGGTGTGGGTGCTCGTGTGTCGGGGTGTCCGTGCGGTGCCCGGGGTCCAAGCCCCGGGTCGCCCGGGTCGCAGCGCCCCCTTGGGGACCAGACCCGAGCCTGCGCACACGCGGGCTCCCCGCGCCCCAGACCCCCAAACCATGAATGGGGTTTGGCTCCGGGAGCGACTCCACGGCCCTTTAACGGGCCCGGGGTCTCTCCGGCCTCCGCCCCCTACCACCACCATCCCCCCCACTCCCCCGCCCACGACGGCCCGGGAGCCCAGACAATGCTGTCACCGCCAAAGCAGGGAAAAATAATAAAGCAGGGAACCGTTAACTCCTTCCCTGCCGGCCTCGGCCTCCGCACCCGCTGCCCGGGTCCCCAAAAACAAGATCCAGGACTCCAAGGTCTCCACGAGGAGCGTTCCTGCATCCCAAGGCTTCTGTCCCCACCTTGGGAGGAGGAGGGAGAAGGTTGGGTTGATGGAGCAGCCCCAGGGAAGGGCTGTCAGCTCCAGCCCCTCCCCATGATTACCCAAGGTCAGGCTGCAGCGGGCCACCAATTCCTGGCCCACCGCTGGCTCACCAGGTGGGGAAACTGAGGCCTGGCTCAAGGTCATTAAGGAGACTGCTGGACACTCCCTGACCTCCCCTCTCACTGGTGGTCTAGGGAGTGAGGGGGATCCTCTCCCCCAAAGAGGCTAGGGTTTGGCAGGGCCGCCCCAGGCTGACTAGGCAGAGAAGAAGGGCAGCTCCGACGACAGGACGGGGACCAGGAAGCAGCGTTTCTACCCTTCCCCTCTGGGGCAGGCCTGTGGGGCAGGGGAAGAGCAGGGGAGAGAACTGGGACCTCGTCAGACCCCCACCCTCACAACCTGTCTCACACTCCCAAGTACACAACATAGAATCCTACTGTGACGTCGCAGGCCCCGGGAGGACACACCACAGTGCCCAAGCAGGCCCTTCGGGGGGCTCCCAGTGCTGCCAGGGGAACAGCCCCAGGGGCAGCTGCCAGATCCCTGCGCCCCCACCCCCACCCCCAGGAGAACTGGAGCCACCCTCACTAGGAACTACAGGGTTAGCAGCATGCATAGGTGCCACTCACTGCCCCCGTGTAGGGTGCTCCCCTGAGAGCTCCATCCCCTGCAACTCCACTCCAAGCTGCTTCTGCCGGCCCCCAAAAGTCCTGGCCTCTCTCTGCCCTCAGCAGCCCCTCCTGCCCTGTGGACATCACAGCCCTGGCACCGGGTTTCCTTCCTGGGACCAAGCAGCCCAGACAACCCTCCCCGAACCATTCCCAGGGCTGGCAGAGGGGGGGACCTTCCCACACCCTCCTCCTTCTGGCATCCTCTCCACAAACACTGCAGAGAGCAGCAGCTTTTGCACAGAGCAGAGGGGCAGGACTGTCTCCCTCCCTCTCCAGGCAATTTGCAAGGCACTTTGGGATGAGATAGAAGGAAATGGGCCCAGATTGTAACAAGTGATTGAGGCAGGATTTTCTGACATGTGGAAGCGAACTGGGAGAGGTTTCACCTGCGGTGATGCCAAGTCCCGATATACCTACGACACATGCATGTGTTTGGGCCAGGGACAGAGCAGGGGACCGGGCCACCTGGAGGTCGATCATCTGGATTTGAGGGACAGCTTCTGGCTGTTTCCTTCTGTGGCCTGAGCCACAGAAGCAGCAGGGTTTCCGTAGAGGAACGTGGCCAGGTTGAGGAGACTGAGCTTACCTGTGAGGCCCCTCCACACAGGGCAAGCACGGCCACAGGCCCCACAACAGCACACCCCAGCCCTCCTGGAGGCCCAGACCCTGGCATGGGAGAGGCAGAGTAGGGGGAGGAGGACCTACACCTGGAGGCTGGGGGGCCTGGAGGAGGACAGTAGCTCAGGGATCGGGAGGGGGCCCTCGGGAGGGCCGGGGTGTAGCTCAGGTGTAGACAGTAGCTCAGGGATCGGGAGGGGGCCTGCCTGCTGTGCCTCATTTAGCTCAGATGCCCATCGAATCCCAGAGAAGGGCAGGGACTTGCCCAAGATGACAGGGCTGGGTGTGGCACCCAGGGCTCTGCCTCAGCCCCAGGCCTCACCTTCAGCAGCACTGGCCCATCCAGAAAACAGGGTCATAATCTTTGCCTGCCCTCGAGAGTGGGGAGTGTCACCCGGACACATAGGCCCTGGCCAGGTGGGAGAGGCTCCTGGCAGAGAAGCAGGGGTCAAGTGTCTGCTCTGTCTGCCAGCATTAACCTAGCATTTACTGTGTGCCGGGCACTGTGCTAGTGCTTTCCATGCAGTCTCCATACTGACCTGCTGACATCGGTACACTTCCCATCCTGACCTTACAGGTGAGCAGACAAGGCTCAGAGAGGATGCCCTGGCCCAAGGCCACCCAGAAAGACCCCTCTCTGGGATTGCAGCCTGAGTCGCTCACCTGCACAGTCCAGGGCCCGGTCAGAGATAGTGTACGGGGGCCAGGGGCCTGGGGCCCTGCAGCCTCCATATCGGTCTCATCCCATCCACTTGAGCACCTCTAGTGAGCATGTAACCTCTCCCCTCCAGAGCAGCCCACTGCTCTGGGGGCAGAGCTGGGCGTCTCTCCCATCCACGTAGTTCCTGCCCCCTACCCACCCTTGATGCCCAAGTATTCGTCTCCGTGCATTCCAGAAGTGGTGGGGGGTGGATCCCTGATGTGTAGTGACTAGTCAGACAAGGGATCAGATCCTGACCCTGGCACTCGATGGCCTTGGGCAAGCCGGTTAATCTCTCTGAGCCTCAGTTTCCTCGTCTGTAGAATGGGGGTGACAACAGTATTCATTTCACAGGGTCATTGTAAGGATTCCATGCGATCACACAGTGCCTGGCCCACCGCACGCTCTTGATCAACAGTAGCAGTCCCTGTCACTAGTGATAACAACCCAGGGTCCTAGAACCTGACAGCCAGGGTGCGGCCCACGTGAGGGCACAGGTCCAGGTGAAGACTGAGGACACCCCTGGGGCCCTGGCTGCTTCGGCCCCTCAACCTCACCTCTGGGGTCCTCATGAGTTACTAGTGGGAGGTGGAGTCTCAGGTCCTTAGAGACCCAGGTGCTCCTGTCCATCTGCTGAGGAGGGACTGGGCCTGGCCTCCCCCATGCCCCATCCTGTCCCCTCTCCACCAGGAAAGCCAAGGCTGTGAGGGTCTGGGTTGGAGCCATCCTGGCTGGGCAGAGGCATCGGGGTGGGCCCCAGCCGGGGACTTTAATGGGGTAGGGACCTGTGTCTTCCCAGCTTCTCCCAGCCTGCTGCCCTCTGAGACTGCCCAGAGGCTGCTGGGGGTGCTTAGGTTTTCTGGGGGCCAGGACGGTGCCTCTGGACCCCTGTACCCACAGCATCATCCCTCCTCCCTGGAGGCCTTGGCAAGGCTTAGGGCTGAGGGTGTTGAGGTGAGGGAGGGCGCCAGGCCCTCAGGACTGTCAGGGGTGGCCTCCCGGGCTCCTTTACCCTGAGCCGTGCCGCACGGAGACAGCCCATGCACAGCCTCCCCCTTCCCGCTCCAGCCTGTGTGAACTTCTCAAATATTTGCTTTCCCTGGCCACTGGTTGGGCTGGGCTGGGAGGGGAGGGAGTTTCTGAGGCTCCCAGAAGCAGCCCTGTTCTCCCCACCCCTGCAGGCTGGCCCTGTCCCTGGGGTTCCAGCCTGGCAAAGCCTCCCTCTGAGGCCTTGGGGACTGGGGTCTCTGCCTTCCCCCTTTCCACCGGAAAAGCCCCAGCTCCCAGCATCCCATCCCACATGGAAGGGAAGGTCAGCAGCACTTTGGGGCTAGGGGCTTTGCCGGCCTGAAGCTCCCCTTCAAGGATCAAGTCTTCCACAGGGCCATTGGGCCAGGACCCAACAGCCATGCGAGGGCCCATTAGCCAGAAAAACCCCTTGATCTCACTGGACAACTTGATCACCAAGAGCCTGGCTTCCCTACTGGGAAACCCCCTCCCAACTCAGAACTTTGGGCCAGGCTGGGATAAAGGCCACACTGTGTCCCCAGGAGGGGAGGGGAGCCAGGGGTGGAGAAAGGTGGCTCTGTTGGCCGCACAAGGCCCCATTCAGCCTGGGGCCTGACTGTCCCAGGCAGGCTGGCCAGCCTCTGAAGCAGCCAGAGCCTCCCCGGGCCTGGGAGCCACCTCTGCTGGCCCGGGATGGATGGATGGCCGGGCTGGCAGTTCCTTCCAGGGCACAGGGTGGGGGCCCCAGAGGCCCCAGTTTAGACCTAGCATGCCTTGAGCCCTGGCACTGTGCCTCTGCCCCCATGCCATGTGGACCATCCTGGGCTGTGTCGGGGGAACATAGTGCCCCTCATGTGGCTCAGCCCAGATTCCCTGCCAGGCCCCTCCCATCCCCAAGGAGACAGGACCTGCCATTCACTGTTTCCATCTCCGTTGAGGATGTGGGCCACCATTGCAGACAGTGGGCCAGAGTTCCTGACTGTCAGGAAGGGAGGAATGGGCAAAGGTGCCTGTTCCCAGGGCCAGGCCTTCTTCATGCCCCAGATCTCTGTCCTTGGTCGCCTTCCGCTCCGCAGAGGCAGGGCTGCTGTCTTGGAAACTGCCCAGAGTCTGGACCCAGGCATGTGGGGAGCCCAGCCCAGGTAGAGCCCTGCAGTCCTCATGGAGTCTCCCTTCCTCTCCTATCTCCTCTGCAGAGCTCCTACCCCATCTGGGAGGACTTCAACTCCAAGGCCACAAAGCTGCATTCCCAGCTGAGGTGAGGCTGCTGAGGGTGCCCCAGCTGGGGAGGGAATGGGTAGCAAAGCCACCTCACCCACAGACCATCCCGCTGTCCATCTCCCCAGGACCACTGTGCTGGCTGCTGTGGCCTTCCTGGATGCCTTCCAGAAAGTGGCTGACATGGCCACCAACACCCGAGGTAGGGAGGGGGCATGGCTGGAGGTTGGGGATGCCCCAGGTTGGGCTTGGAAGCTGGAAAGGCTGAGTGGAATATGAACTGGGAAGAGGACACCAGGCCCAGAGTTGGGACCTTGAGTTCTGCTCCCTAATGGAATGGGCTTTTTGTGGAGAGAGTGAGCCTCTCGTCATTAGAGGCATGCAAGCAGGAGTGGGCGAAAGATGACAGGATGTTACAAAGGGGGGTTCCCTTCTCGCTTCTGGGCGGCTGGTTTGACCCCTCAGCCACAGTTGTTCATGCTTCCCTATGGTGAGTTTGACTGTGGCTTCTTCTTTTCCACCGCCTTCTGCCCTTCCGAGAGCACAGAGGGCAGGTGAACATTCCCTGTTGGCCTTGGCATCTCCTCTACATTCTGGTCCGAGGAGCAGGGACCTGGGTCCCCGGCTCCTTTGGGTGGTGAGAACCAAGGCAGTGGGCGCATGCTGGCACTCTCACACCTGCATCTGGGCACACCTGGAGGGGGTTCCTGGTAGGGCAGGAGGGGATTTTGGTTGGATCTTTGGATGTCTTTGATGCCAGCCTTTCCCAGCTGGGGTGAAGGGCAGCTCCTGGCCCGACCAGCAGAGCAGCCGCAGCTGCAGGAGGCTGGCATAGCCAGGATGGGCAGGACCTTGGTCCCGTACGGAGGAGGGCCTTGGTAAATACTGAGAAGAGATCAAGTCGCCTGCTGGGGCCGGCAGGATTGCGGAAAGCTGGGGGGCGGGGCGCGGGGTGCCGGCTCGGTCTTCGCGGGCCGGTGCGCCCCCTCGTGGCCTGAGGCCGGGACTGCAGAAGCCCCAGCGGGCCCGTTCACATGCTGCGCGCTTGCCTCGCCAGGGGCCACGCGGGATATCGGCTCGGCGCTCACGCGCATGTGCATGCGCCACCGCAGCATCGAGACCAAGCTGCGGCAGTTCACCAAGTGAGTGGGCGCTGTGGTCGGGGAGGGGGGCGTGTCACGGGGACACCTCCATGGTGGACCTGACCCTCTTGCCCCCGCCCACAGTGCGCTCCTGGAGAGCCTCATCAACCCACTGCAGGAGCGCATCGAGGACTGGAAGAAGTCGGCCAACCAGCTGGACAAGGACCACGCAAAAGGTGGGTCTGGGGCTCGGCCCGTGCTTCCCGCCCCCCAACTGGGCAGAAACCGCCGTCACAGGGCTCCTTTCTCATCCCTTGCACAGAGTACAAACGAGCCAGGCATGAGATCAAGAAGAAATCTTCAGACACGCTGAAGCTGCAGAAGAAAGCACGCAAAGGTAGAGCCCAGAGCTGGCCCACAGAGGCACAGCCCCACGGGGCCCCGCTCTGTATCCCCCGCTGCCCTGTGGGGCACCCCAGGGCATCATCCTGGCCTGAGGGGTCCTATCCCGCACACAGAACCCTCCAACCTGTTGGGTGGGGCAGAGGGAGCACCTTGCACCCCAGACCCGACCCAGGACCTCCCCTCCCAGGGAGGCAGCAGGAGGCCAACAGGCCCAGGCACCCCCAGACCCCACCCCCCCCACCCCCAGGAGTGGCTCTGTCCATCCGGCTGTCTTTCACACATTCTTTCTTTCTCTGTCTCTCCTCTCCTCTCCTCGTCCCAATCCTTCCTGTAGAGCTACTTGGTAAGTCAGATGTCCATCCCTCCAGCTGCTCCTCCCGTCCTTGTCGTCCTTGTCGCATTTGTCTGTCTCCCCCAGCTCAGGGCCAGTGGAAGGAGCCTCTCCAGGCCAAGGAAGAGCGAGGAAGGCGGTCGGTCCAGCGAGGGAGGGGCCTGGGGCACAGTCCCCTTGGGGCCCCTGGGGCCCCTGGCCAGGGATGAGTCCGGGGCCACTGCTGGGTCAGTCTGCCAGGCCAAGAGGGGTTGGACCGGGCAGGGTGGGGACACAGGCCCTGGCTGCCCCGCCCCCGCCAGGCCCTCCCAGAGTCCTTACCTCTTGCCTCCCCACTTCCTGTCTCACTGTCTCCTTTACATCATCTTCTCGCCTCTCCGTGTCTCTCTCGCCGCTTCTTGGTGTCGCTGTTGCTGTCCTTGTGCATCATTCCCTGAGCTGAGGGGGGACCCACACGGAGGCACCCCGTTCCCTGTCCCCTGGGCCCAGTCCCTAGCCCTCTTGGCCCCTACACCCCCTCGTGGCCTGGCCTACAGCTGTGCCCCCCACGCTCTACTTTGTCCTGCTTCCCTTCCTCCTCCCTGTGCCCTGGGACGTGAGGGGCCACCATCCCGTGGGCGGTGAGGGTATCCTGGGGGGTGGAAGTCTCAGCTCTTGTGGAGGCTGCCACTGGGCTCCCCTGAGCACAGCTGCACCAAGGGCGGCCCTGGGGCTGCCCAGGGCTCTGCTCACCCCAGGACCTGGGTGGCTTCGCAGCTTTGGTATCTTTCCTGTGTGCTTTGTTTATCTGTCCTCTCTGTCTGCTCTGGGGACCAGCCCTTCCACAAGCCCCAGCGTCCCGACTGCCCTCCCCAGTCCCCTGGCCCCCATGGCAGTGCCCAGCCCCACGACCAGGGACACCACCACGGGGTCTGAGCTATGGATGCAGTGGGCCGGGCCGGCATCCCCAGCGTGGCCTCTCCTCCCAACCCCTCCAGGGAAAGGAGACCTGCAGCCCCAGCTGGACAGTGCCCTGCAGGACGTGAACGACATGTACCTGCTGCTGGAGGAGACGGAGAAGCAGGCGGTGCGCCGGGCCCTGATTGAGGAGCGTGGCCGCTTCTGCACCTTTATCACCTTCCTGCAGCCTGTGGTGGTGGGTTCCTCGGGAGCAGAGAGGCGTTCTGAGCGTCTCCACCATTGGGCTAGTTGAGGGGTTCCCAAGAACCATGATTTGGGAGCCTCCATCAGCCCAAGCAGCGTTGGTTGGTGGGAAGGGGTGAGGGAGGGGAGACCCAGTGTGGCCTGGCCCTCCAGGGTGCATGGGCAGGGGCGGGGCCGAGAGGCTGACTCACTGCTCCATCAGAACGGCGAGCTGACCATGCTGGGAGAGATCACCCACCTGCAGGGCATCATCGATGACCTGGTGGTGCTGACCGCGGAGCCACACAAGCTGCCGCCCGCCAGCGAGCAGGTGCGGCCAGCCCTGGGGACAGGACAGGGGAGGGGATGGCTTGCCCTTGGTTGGGGATGATAGAGGAGAAAAGGGGACAGCATTTGGAGGAGGCAGCTGGACACAGAGGGCCACCTGTGGGGATCTAGGAGCATCTGCCCAGGTGAGGGGTGGTGTGCCCAGGACCCAATGGGGGCCTTATATCGAGAGCAGATGGGTGGAAGTCCCAGACCCGCAGGATCCCCCTGAGAAAGCAAGGCCTGATGATGCCTACCTGCCATCCACACCCAGACCCGTCAGCTCCCCTGGACCCAGACGCTCCTGCCCCCGTGTGCTGCCCTGCCCACTTCGCCTCACCACCATGCTCCCATTGCACTAGGGTCGGCCCTACCTGACAGCGCCGTGGCGTTGCTCTCGCTAGGCGCCTACTGTGTGCCCAGCCCACACGGAGCACTTCCCATGGGTCACCTCATTCATTCACCCCAGTGGCCCTCTAAGATAGGAATGATCGGCTGCATTTCACGGGAGAAACCCAGGAGAGACCCAGGAACTTGCCCGAGAGCAGAGCAGAGCCAGGATTTGAACCCCGTGGTGTCCTTCGTGGTCACTCTGGCCTGGCTCCTCTGCCAGCGACAGTGAGTCCTCAGGATCACCAGGTTCTCCCACGTCCTGGCCTGCGCAGCTTCCCTGAGAAGCAGAGGGGGCAGAATCTCCCCAGGCATCCCCCCCAGCCCTCTGGCAGCCCTGCTTCCTGCCCCTGAGTGAGGAGCTTGTGTTAGGAAAAGGCTGGGGGGCAGGGGGCTTCAGACTCCCAGGGATCTTCTTTGGGGCCCGGTTCTCAATTGGGAAGACAGCAGGGGGCCTCTGGCCCTACTAGCCCTCGGAGGGGAGGCCCAGGAAAAGGATGAGGCTCTCTGCAGGGCAGGGCTGCTTCCAGTGACCCCATTCATGTCCATCCAGGTAATCAAAGACTTGAAGGGCTCAGACTACAGCTGGTCCTACCAGACCCCACCCTCATCGCCCAGCAGCTCCAGCTCCCGGAAGTCCAGTATGTGCAGGTCAGTGGGGGGCTGAAGTGGGGTGCAGGGAGGGGCAGGGGTACTGCAGCAAGGAATCGGGAAGGTCCCACCAAAACTGCATCAAGAATAGCTTCAGGGCCCCAGAATTCACACAACTCCTACGTCACCAAGGAATCTGCAAGCATAGGGGAAACTTCTCTCGTTGCAAGACTGCTGCTAGTGCAGGCGTGTGTTGGGGGCGGGCGGAGGGGCAGCAGCTTCATTTATGGAGCTATAAGTGTGCACCAGGTGCCGTGCTAAATGCTTTATGCATTTTCTTCATTGAATCCTAACACCACCGTATCAGGTATGGTGTTGTCTCCATTTCACAGAAGGAAAAGCTGAGGTACGGAATCCCAGCATTTAACCACTAGACTCTGCCAGGCTCAACACAGTGCTGGGGCAATAGTAAGAATCTAAGATGGGGAGGGCTGTGGAGGCATTGGGGAACATGCGCTGAGGCTACAGGATTATTACCTTATGGACACTGCAGCCTGGCTAGTTCCTGAGAGCTGGTGCCTGGGCAGCTGCCACAGGCCCGAACCTCAGCCTAAGCTGGGCCCCGAGGTCTTGCAGAGCCAAAGAGAGGCCAAAGGTCTTGCTCGGTCACCGGTCAGGCTCAGGTGCAGGAGCACTTCCTGGGTGGGATTGGGAGAGCTATTTAAGATTCAAGGCTCCTCGGCGGGAGGGCAGTGAGCATAGTGCGAGTTCCTGGTGGGGAGACCCCTCTGTGCCAGGCACCCTTTCCCCAGATCCACCTTGGCTGGGCAACTGGGGCATGGGCGGTAAGGCAGGCACAGCAGTCAGCGGCTCCTGCAGGGAGAGGAGGGTCCACGTCAACTGGCGGCTCTTCAGCCCCCGGGTGGGTGACTGGCACAGGAGGGGAGAGTTGATTGCAGGGGACACCCATGACCAAGGGTGGAGGCTGGGGACCTTCCCGGTCATGCTCAGGAGGAAGGCGACCTCATTGCCAGGAACGTTGCCCAGGGATGAAATGGTTGCATAGAGGATATGAACTACAGAGGGCTGGACACCCTTCAGGGGGCGGAAAGGATGAGGGCAATGGTGAGTCCAAGCCCCACACAGACCGTCACCACGCAGTAGACGTTCAATTAGGATTTGATAGCAAATATCAGACTTTGAGAAGACAGTCATGATCAGACTTATGTCTGGCTGTAGCCTAACTGGGAAACTCTTTGATGCTGGGTGACCCCGTTTCTTCCTTGTTAACCTAAGGTCTCCTGTTCTTGATGGCAGAGCAGGAGGTAGCACTGGGGTGCTCCGGGGGCAGGTGCTGGGCCAGCTCTTCAGTGTGGTCCCCTGCCCAGGCCCCACTCTGTCCCACAGTCCTGGAACCCAGCTCCTCTGTGGCACTTTGGTCTCAGGACCTTGTAGTCTGACATTGTCTTTTCCTTCCTTTGCCCCTCACCTCTCTCCCCCACCCTCGTCTGTCACCCTTCCACACACACCCCTGTGTCTCCCTGTCTGGCTGCTGTGCACCCCCCTTCACTTCCCCAGCGCCCCCAGCAGCAGTAGCAGTGCCAAGGGTGGCGGAGCCCCGTGGCCTGGGGGTGCCCAAACATACTCACCTGGTTCCACCTGTCGCTACCGCAGCCTGGCACAGCCGGCCACCGCCAGCGCCCGCCTCTCCAGTGTCTCCTCCCACGACTCTGGCTTCATCTCCCAGGATGCCACCTACTCCAAGCCCCCCTCGCCCATGCCTTCAGACGTCACCAGCCAGGTGAGGGGGCATCTGCTGAACCACCTGGGGTAGGGTGCAGTAGCCTCATGCCAGCCTCAGGCCATCCACGTTGGGGGCCACCTACAGCTGTTGAGACTAGCCCTGGAGGTCCCCAGGGCCACCACATTGAGGACCAACCTCAACTCACTGCCTCAAGGCTAAGGAGAGTTGGAAGGTCTTAGAGCAGCTTACCAGCTCTGGTGCCTTGTGACCCTCCCCCTGCATAGGCTGGCTGTGATGGAGTGGCTGGCCCTAGGAGGCACCCCCGCAGGAGCCCCAGGATCTGCAGACATCCTCCCCCTTCTCCACACTTTGGCCAGCTCATTCTGAACACAGAGACTGGCCCAAGAATCTCTTCAGATGCAGGCTCAGATCCTGCAGCCTCAGTGAGATGGAAACAGAGGAACTACAGCAGAAGACAGAGGGAGGTCAGGCCACATGCCCAGGGTGCTGTCCTTCCCCATCATGGCGAGTGCCTCCATTTAAGCTCAGCATTCTCTCTTTTCCTGCCCTCTTGCCCAAGGATGTCCCCACTGCATTGCCAGTCTCCCCTCCTCTGCTGGCTCATCCCTGTCAGTACACAAACACATGCTCTAGTATCATCCATCTTAAAAGCCCTCCCTTCCTCCATGTTCTCCTCCAGCCACCTAGTCTCTCCTTCACAGCAAAACTTCTCAAAAGACTTGTCCACACTGACCACCTCTACCTCATTCCCCATTCACTCCTGTCTGCTTTACCTATCAGTAATTGAAAAGCTGGAATTGTTCATTTCTCCCATATAGTTCTATCCGTTTGCTTTATATATTTTGAGACTATTTTATTAGGTTCATACAACTTCAAAATGTTAACTCTTCTTAGTGAACTGAATCTCCTAACGTGATGTAGTTGATCTTCTGTTACTTTTATGTTTTCTAGCTTAAAGTCTGTTTTGATATTACTACAACTCCTTCAGCTTTATTTTGCTCCATGTTTATGGTATCATTTTCTGTCTCTTAGCTTTTAAGCTCACTACGTCCTTATGTTTTAGATGAGTCTCTTATAAACAGCATATGCCTAGATTTTCTTTTCTTATCCAATCTGACAATCTCTTAATTGACGTTTTTAGTCCATTCACATTTATTATGATTACTGGCATATTTAGACTTCTGTCTTACTTTTTTCTTTCTATTCATTCTGCTTTTTCTGTGCTGCTTTTGTCTCTTCTCTTGCTTTTTGTTTTTTCCTTTCCCCATTATTTTCCTTCTACTGGATTTTAAGTTATACTTCTTATTTCATTTCTTTTACGGGTTACCTTGAAATTTTACCATGCATCCGTAGCAAAGTCACAGCCCCACCTCCTGAATAATTCAAGGACCTTAACGTATATTTTAACTTCAGTCACCCACTCCCTCCCCTTATAAGCTATATATATCTCCTTTTTAATCATCCCCATGATTGACATTTTTCTTCTTAATTTTATCATTATTTTATACATACAGTATCTGTATGTTTAGATTTACCCATATGTGTTTACACTTTTTTTGTTCATTTTTTCCTTGTATCCCATCTTCCTTCTAAGGTCACTTTCCTTCTTTCTGAAGTAAAATATGTCCTTTAGAAGTTCTTTTAGAATGGGTCTGTAGTAGTAAGCTCAGTTTTTGTTTATCTGTAAACATGCTTTATATTTTTCCTCTTTCTTGAAAGTTAGTTTTGCCAGGGATGCAATTCTGGGGTGACAGTTACTCCGTTTCCACATTTTGAAGACATATTCCCCCTGTGTTCTGGATTCTGTGGCTGGTTGTAACGTCCGCTGTCAGTCACTGTTGTGCCTTTGTGAATGATCTGACTTCTCTCTTTGGCCACTTTAGTTTTTCTACAATGTATCTAATTGTGGATTTGTTTTTGTTTAATCTCACTTGGTGTGTTTGTGTTTCTCTATCTCTGTATTCATGTTTTTCATTCGTTCTAGGAATTTTCAACCATTATCTCTCTTTTTTTTCATATATATAAATTTACTTATTTATTTTTTTTTGGCTGAGTTGGGTCTTTGTTGCTGCACGTGGGCTTTCTCTAGTTTCGGCGAGTGGGGGCTGCTCTTCATCGCGGTGCGCGGGCTTCTCATTGCGGTGACTTCTCTTGTTGCGGAGCACAGGCTCTAGACGTGCAGGCCTCAGTAGTTGTGGCTTGCAGGCTCTAGAGCACAGGCTCAGTAGTTGTGGTACACGGGCTTAGTTGCTCCGCGGCATGTGGGATCTTCCTGGACCAGGGCTCGAACCCGTGTCCCCTGCATTGGCAGGCAGGTTCTTAACCACTGCACCACCAGGGAAGCCCGTCAACCATTATCTCTTTATTTTTACTTTCATTTGTGTGTTTCTTCACTGTCATATTTCCCATCTCTTTGTTTCTCTGGATAATTTCTTCAGGTCCATCTTCCAATGTACTTTTTCTCTATTTTATAGCTATTTAACTTATCCGTTAAGGGTTTGTTTTTTTTTTAATTCTGAAATAATTTTAGCCTTGTAGAAAATCTGTAAAAAGAGTGCAGAGTTCCCACCCACCCTCCCCACAGTCTCCCCGGATGTTAACATCTCACATAACTACCAAACAATTTTCAAAACCAGGAAATTAACACAGGCACAATACTGTTAACTAGTCAACAGACTCTTCACATTTTGCCAGCTTTCTCACTAACGTCCTTTTCCTGGTCCAGGAGTCCAGGATCCAACACAGGACCCTACCTTGCATTTTATTATTGTCTCTCTTTAGGCTTCTCCAGTCTATAATGGCTCCTCAGTCCCTCTTAAATGACTTTTGAATACTGGTTATGTATTTCATAGAATATCCCTCATCTTGAGTGTCTCTGATGTCTTCCCATAATCAAATGGGCAGGAAGAGCACAGCAGTGGTTTACTGCTATTCCACCTCCTCACCAGACCTTGGTATCCTTTTCATTTGAGCCGTTCTGATAGGTGTTATATCATAGTGCCCTGTGTCTTTAATTTGTATTTCCCTGATGACTAATGAGGTTGAACACCTTTTCATACTTTTAAAGGCCATTTGGATATCCTCTTTTTGTGAAGGACCTGTTCAGATCTTTTGCTTATTTTTCTCTCCTAGGTTGTCTGTCTTTTTCTTGTTGATTTGTAGAACTTCTTATATATTGTGGATACAAGTCTTTTCATCTGATAATCTTCTCTGATTCTGTGGATTGCTGTTTTACTCCCTTGATGGGGTCTTTTAATGACCTAAAGTTCTTAATTTTAATGTGTGTCCAATTTATCCATTTTTTTTTCAATTGTTATTGCTTTTTCTGTCCTGTTTGAGGTATTTTTGTGTACTCTAAGGTCACAAAGATGTTTTCCTCCAAAAAAAGCCTTTTTGTTTTACCTTTTCTTCATTTAGATCTGCAGCTCATCTGGAATTCATTTTGTGTGTGTGTGTGTGTGTGTGTGTGTGTGTGTGTGTGGTGAGGTAGAGGTCTTTTTTTCCATATGAATATCTAATTGACAATTTTTTGAAAATACCATCTTTTCTTCCACTGCACTGTAGTGTGTTAACCTTTGTCATCAAACAGGTGTCTGTGAATGCATAGCTGTTTCTGGAGTTTGTATTCTATTCCACTGGTTGATTTGTCTGTTCTTGTACCAATACCACACCATCTCAATTATTAATAGCTTTATAAAAAGTCTTGATATCTGGTAATAAAAGTCCTCCAGCTTTCATATTCTTCAATATTACCTTGTCAGTTTTTGGCCCTTTGCATTTCCTTATAAATTTTAATATCAGCTTGTCAGTTTCCACTAAAAAAAAACAAAAAACAACCCCTGGGATTCTGACTGGGATTGCATATGTCTCTCCATTTATGATGGCTTTACCTTCTCTCAATAATATTTTGCAGTTTTCATGTGAGGATCTTGCACATCTGCTGGATTTTTTGCCCTGGGTATCTGATGTTTATTGTTGCTATTTTAAATTATTTCGGCTTTTTTCAGAGTCTTTTACTTGTTTTTTAGCTGCTGATATTTAGCAATTTGATTTTTTTTCTATGTTGATCTTGTATCCAATAACCTCACTAAAAACACATATTAGGTCTTTTGAATATTCTATAATACATACACAGTCATGTCTTTTACAAACAACCATTTTCTTCTTTGCCAATCCTTTTGCTTTTTACTTCTTTTTCATGCTTTATTGCACTGCTAGAACTTCCAGTGCTAAATAGAGAAGTGGTCATCCTTATCTTTTTCCAACCTCAGAAAGAAAAGTATTGATATTTTTGTAGATAACTCTTTATCAGATGAAGGAAGTTCCTTTCTATTGCTAGTCTAAGTGTTTTGTTTTCCGTGAATGGGTGTTGAATTTTTCCGCTGTTTTCCAAATACTTTTTTCCTTTTTTATTTTTGTCTTAACAATTATATTGGTAAAATTCTACATGTGTTTATTATTTCCTCCGAATCCTTACCTATAGAGTTTAGCTCCTTTTATTTTAGTCATCTTGGCTCATCATAAACTATTAAAAAGATCTGGGAGTCTAAACCAGGGTGATTTAGAGAATCTTACTTGGCTGGTACAGGATCTGGAGAGGTGCTACTGATTAGTTCCCTTCCAGGTTTAATTTGGGTCATCAACAGGGTGAGCTCTCCACCTTGCCACTTGCCCAGTCTCTCAACCACAGTGCTGAAGCCAGCCTCTGCCCTGGGGACCCTCATGGTCCTGTTTCTGCCCTTGCTTTTTTCTTCATTCTCTGTTGTTGTTGTTCTTTGTTATTTATGTATTTATTTATTTGGCTGTGCCGGGTGTTAGTTGTGGCATGCATGTGGGATCTAGTTCCCTGACCAGGGATCAAACCCAGGCCCCCTGCACTGGGAGTGCAGAGACTTAACCACTGGACCACCGGGGAAGTCCCTCTTTGTTGTTTTGAGTTGGGGGGCCTCCAGGGCACCTAATTCCTGCCACTGTCCAGAGCAGCAGCCTCCTGGGCACCCTCGGTCCTGTCCTCAGTGGGCTTCTGCCCCACCATTCTGTGAAACAGTTCTGGAGGTCTGCACAGACACCCCTCCGCCTCATGTGCACGGACCCCCAGCAGCCGAGCACAACTGCCCCTCCCTCCTTTGCGTGTCAGGTTCTTCCCCTGATTCTGTGACATCACCTGCTCGTGGTCTTCCTCCACGCCACCAGCAGCTCCTGTCACTCCTGTTCGCTGGGCCATCCTCTTCTTCCAAAGCACTGAATGTCGGCCTGACGTCCTTGAACCTTTTCTCTAACCACCGTCATCCTGACTGCCTAGGTGACTTTATTCTGTCCGACGGCTGCTGGATTTGTGGTTCCAAACCTGACTTCTCCCTAAACTCCAGACTGGAAATACAATTGCCTGCATTGCATCTGGGCATAGATACCTAACAGGCAGCTCAGCTTAACATGTATAGGATGGAACTCTGGACTCCATTCCTCCCCCAGGCCTGCCCTTCTGAGAAAACAGTGGCACATCAACCCGGCAGTTCACGCCAGCACCCCGCTGCCCTCCTGAGTATCGCTCTTTCCCTGCCCACCACATCCAGGCCATCAGCAGCCAGCCTTCTTGTTAATCCTCAAAGTGTGTGGTTATCGGGCTGGGCTGGGGGGCAGGTCATTGCCCATGGTGTGCGCTCTGGGTGCTGCCTTCCACTGCATACGCTCGGCCGTGGCCGTGGCCCTGGAGGGCCTGGGGTGGGGATGCTGAGTCAGCAGGCCCTGCTGCATGCCAGCGCTGTGACCAGATCTGTTCCCTCCTCTCGTCCTGCCTCCCCGCCCATCCTCCTGCCTGCTCGCCTCTGCGTGGCAGAAGTCCTCCAGCTCAGCATCCTCCGAGGCCTCGGAAACCTGCCAGTCCGTCAGCGAGTGCAGCTCCCCTACCACGGTCAGTGCTTCCCACCCACAGCGGGACACAGGGAGGGCCCAGGTTCAACCAGAGGGGCGTGCACGAAGCACTTGCTCCCCGCGAGACAGGCCTCCTGGGCACCACCTGCAGCCACTCCCCACACGCTCACATCTTTCCCTCCCGGGGCTCCCCATCCTGCCCCTGGGCCTGGCAGGACTGGGGTGTCACAGCACCCTCCGTGCTCTGTCCTTGGCCATGATTGTGAGCCTGAGGCCCCATGTGGGTCTGGAAACCCTGAACTTCAACAACAGTGAGGGCCCCCTTGGCCATGCCCTGCAGGACTGGGCCAAGGCCGGCCCCCACGAGCAGCCCTCAGGCAGCACCCTGCAGCGGAGGAAGGACCGAGTGGAGCTCCTCCGAGACACAGAGCCAGGCCCGGCTGTCGGGGGCACCCTGGGCCCCAGTGGAGAGGAGGCCCCGCGACCCCGCATGTCCCCTGCCACCATCGCAGCCAAGGTAAGCGGCAATTCCCTGGGCAGCCCAACCAGGGCCCCACCTTCACTCCTAGGTCACCTTCAGGAGGCCAGGCAAGTGGTCGCAGGGCCAGCTCAGACTGCTCAGCCTGTTGGGGGCTGCCTGCAGTCCGGGCTGAGGGGGAAGCGGGGAGCAAGGCTTCAGCCTGCAGTCTTACCACCCCCAGCACGGTGAGGAGGTGTCCCCCGCGGCCAGTGACCTGGCCATGGTGCTGACCCGCGGCCTGAGCCTGGAGCACCAGAAGAGCAGCCGGGACTCCCTGCAGTACTCGAGCGGCTACAGCACACAGACCACCACGCCCTCCTGCTCCGAGGACACCATCCCCTCCCAAGGTAGGCCCCGGGGGCCGGGGGCAGGCGGCTGGGCCTTCACAGGCCCCCAGGGCCCCAGGCCCACCGCATCCCGTGCCCCCCAGGCTCCGACTACGACTGCTACTCAGTGAACGGGGACGCAGACGGGGAGGGCCCACCCGAGTTCGACAAGTCATCCACCATCCCTCGCAACAGCAACATCGCCCAGAACTACCGCCGCCTGATCCAGACCAAGCGCCCGGCCTCCACTGCGGGGCTGCCCACCGCCGGGCTGCCCACCACCTCGGGCGCACCCCCTGGCGTGGCCACCATCCGCCGCACGCCCTCCACCAAGCCCGCCGTGCGCCGCACCCTCTCCAGCGCCGGCCCCATCCCCATCCGGCCACCCATCGTCCCCGTGAAGACGCCCACGGTGCCCGACTCCCCCGGCTACGTGGGGCCCACGCGGGCGGGCAGCGAGGAGTGTGTCTTCTACACCGACGAGGCCGCCTCGCCCCTGGCCCCGGACCTGGCCAGGGCCTCCCCGAAGAGGCTCAGCCTGCCCAACACAGCCTGGGGCAGCCCGTCCCCCGAGGCCGCCAGCTACCCGGGGCCGGGGGCTGGGCTGGCGGCTGAGGGCGACGAGCAGCAGCAGCAGCTGGCTGCCAACCGGCACAGCCTGGTGGAGAAGCTCGGGGAGCTGGTGGCAGGTGCCCACGCCCTGGGCGAGGGCCAGTTCCCTTTCCCCACTGCCCTGTCGGCCACCCCTGTGGAGGAGACTCCCACCCCGCCCCCCGCTGCCACCAGCGACCCCCCGGCTGAAGACATGCTGGTGGCCATCCGGCGCGGGGTGCGGCTCCGCAGGACCGTCACCAACGACAGGTCGGCGCCCCGCATCTTGTGATCCCACCCTCTGGCCTGGGCGAGGCAGGTGGCCTGGTCGGTGGGCAGCGGCCACTTCAGAGCAAAGGCACAGTCAGGAGAGAGCAGAGCCAGGCAAGCTTTTTTTTTTTTTTTTTTGAAGTCATATGAGGCAAAGCTACTTTATTGGAAAGAGACACCCATCTTGGATTTCAAGGTTTAAACAGGAAATGACTTCTTTAACAAACCTCGCCAGGACGGAGCCTGCGGGCCTGGAACTTGGATTTGGAGCCTGTTTCAACCTTTGCTTGCCCACTCTGTCCCTCCTCTTCCTCCTTCCGGGCCCTGCCTTTTCCTGGTGTGGGTGAGCCCCAGAGCCACGCTCCCTGCCCACAGCAGCAGGGCCGGGCCAGCCTCTCCCGGTCCCACCAGCCTGGGTGGGCCCACAGTGCCACCGCTTAGCTAGCCTGGCCCGGCTTCTCGCCATCTCCCCAGGGACGGTGGCCTCGGGCTCTGCCGGAATGCTAGTCCACCCTGCCCTGACTGAGCCCCCTCCTCCTCCCTCCTCCACCGTCTCATCTCTCTGCCTCTCCAGGCTCCTCTCCTTCGGAGAGCAGGGCCGACGGGGAGCAGCTGTGCAGGGGCCAGGGGCCCAACCGGCTAAGGTATCTGGTTTGCTGAGAAAGCTCTACGGGATGGCTGGCTGTTGGGGACACGGGGTGGGGGGGGTTGGGGAGGTTGCAGCTGGGAGCCCAGCTGCCGTCGCCGCCGTCGTCGTCGTTGTCGGGGAAGGGGGCCTGGGCCCAAGTCAAGCCTCTTGGGGAAGACATGCAGGGGACCTGCTTGGAGGAGGCTGGGGACCCTGAAGCAGCATCCCCTCCCCCCAGGGGTGGCTGGGGTTGGAGGCAGGGCGGGGCTGGGCAGCGGGGAAGGAGTCCAGAGGCTAGGGGTCACCTGGCCAGTCCCCCAGGAGCTGCTTTCGGATGCCGTGATGGTTTCAGCCACCCCTGGGGATGGGGGCTGGAGCTGGGGGTGGGGGTGGGGGGAGGGACGGGAGGGGGTTCTTTTAAGAACACACAATAAAATGAGCTGACCGGACAAGGACTGCTTGTGGGGACAGGGTAGACGGTACAGGGTGTGTCCAAGAGTGCCTGAGGGACGGGGTCGGGGGGGCCCACACTGGCGTTGGGCCTGTGGCAGGAGGAGGGCCTAATGGCTCCGGAGGCCAGAGAGCAGCTCTTCTCTCCAGCGTCCGGAGCAAAGCCGCGGTGAGGTTGGAAAGGGCTGGGGGCTGGGCCTCCTGTCAGTCTGCTGCGGACCAAGGGGTGGGGGTGGGGGGCAGTGGGAGGAGATTAGCTTTGACTCTGTTGTCAGAGGAGCCGCCCTCCCAGGATGGTCCGGGCGGCGGGGAGCGAGGTGGCAAGTGCCCCCGCGCCATGTTGCGCGCCAGCTCCAAGCAGGTAAAAGCACGTGTGCCAAGTGCGAGCGGAGGACTTCCTGCGGCCCCGCAAGGCAGCCCAGGGCGGCAGGGTCACGGGGCAGGGGCCCCTCCCGGGGTCAGGAGAGCTGGCTTTTCCTGGTCTGGATGGAGCCCAGGCTCCTGGTAGTTCTTGTGCCGGAAACTGGGGTCCAGGCACGGCAGCCAGGCGGGTGTGGGGAACCAAGGATGCCCCTGAGTATATGGAGCCCGGCGGGGTCCCCGAAGGCGGGTGGAGAACGTACCTGTAAGTCGCTAGGTCGGAGAAAGGAGACTTGCTAAGCGCACCACACCTGGAGGAGGGCCGGGGCGAGGAAGGGGGCGGGAGAGCAGATGGCCTGTATTTGAAGGCTTGGGGCGGGGCTTACACTGCCCCTCGCCACAGGGTTTGCCCAGGTGGGCTGATTTAAGATGCAGGTTATGTGATGTGAGCAGGGTAAGGGGTAGTGGGGTGGGGGGAGAGCTGAGTCCCCATGAGGAAGAGCTTGCCCCTGGGGAGGGGGAGGTGGCTTCGGAGACCCAGGGAGGGGGTGGGTGCGGCACAGCTGCCCCCCACCCACCCATACTCCAGTGGCGCCCTTCCCCTCCAAGCCCCCCCGCCCCAGGGCTGTACATAACTCCTCCATCCCCTTGATCGCCTCGCGTCCATTTAGTGACCACCTTGCAGGCCCACCCCTTTGGGATCCGAGCCAGCCATTCCGCATCACAAACTTTGGTTTGGGGGACTTCTTTACGTTTGTTTCATTTTTCTTTTTGTACAGAGAAATATTCTTTTCAAAAAGTGTCTTTTGACTGAAGTAACTTTTCTGGTGCTGTTAACTTGTTCCTTTTTTTAATTTATTTCCCCACCCCAGGCTCCCCCTCCTGGTTCCTACTCACTTTTTCTTCCCTCCACCACCCCCTCACCACCCCCATCCCATCTGAACCATTTTGTTTCTTTTCTTTCTGTCAGTTTTTGGATAAATGATCCTCTCCTTCCCCCCCCCCACGCCCCTGCAACCCACCCTCTCCTTGATTTAAATAGTCACTGCTACAAGTAACAAATGCACTGTGAAGATTCCAGTATTAATAAAGTTGTACTGTAATTAACACCCCTGCCTCCACCTGGCTTTCTCCACCGCTGCTCACCTGCCAGCACCCCAGCCCTTGCCCATCCCATCCCAGATCCCCGCTGGGGGCGGGGCTCCCTGCAGGGCTCCGTGATGGGGGGGGTGGGGGGGCGTGCAGGAGTCGCCGGGTCTCGTGCCAGGACCCATGCCTTTGAATGCCTCAGCTCTGTCCCTGCTGGGGGCGGTCTTGGGGCTGCCAGATGGAGGGGAAGAGGGCCGTGGCCAGGATGCACTGTGGGAGATAAACCCCCCCCCCAGCAGTCAGGCTGGCTAAGGCTTCAGGGGCTGGGGCAGGGCTGGAAGGAACTCCGTCCCGCAAATATCTACCATTCCAGGGCCCTGGCTAAGGCCCTGACCACTCCACATCTGAATCCTCAGACCGAGGCCCCAGGGCCAGATCAGCCCATGCCCCTCCTCCTGCCTCCTGCACCTGGCAGGAGGGGAAAGCGGCCTTCTCCAGGTGGGCCTTCTCCAGGTTCACCCTCGAAGATGCAAAGCAAACCAAAACAAACCAAAACAAAGCAGGTGTTTAATAGAAAAAATAAAGGGAACTGTGGCAAGATGTGGCATTTGGCTATGCCCTCTCCCCAGCTTTGCTGCCCTCTCCCTGGCCTTGCCGAGGCGTGTCCCCACCCCCATGCCCACCTGGTACAGCTCTCACCTCTTTGGGCTTAGGAGACGGTCAGTCCTGCCCTCAGGGAAGAGGGCAGCCCGGGCAGTGCCAGGAGGGGCTGTAAGCTCTGTCGTCATTGACCTTCAGGTGCCCCCAGCGCCCACTGCTCCAGGTGAGACCATGGGAGGTATGGAAGGCGGGAAGCTGAACCCTTCTCAGGCACTGAGTCCCCCTCAAAGGAGAAATGCCCCTCTAGGGTCTCCCCTCCCAAGAGGGGCTCCCCACCACCACCCAGAGAAGCCTCAGGCCCAGTCCGTCTCCTGCAGGAGCTCCTCCAGCTGCCCCACCCAGTTACCATGCAGCCCACTCAGGGCAGGCGGCCTTCGCCCTGTGCCCTCAGCAGCTTCACTGAGCCGGGGCTCCAGCCGTGAATGCCGGGGGGTGGGGCAGGGAGGCGGGGGGCTGCTGGCGCAGGGGGTATAGCTGGGCGGCCACACACTGTGACGAGGGCTCCGGGCCGTGAGGCTGAGGCCTTGGCACCTCACAATCCTGCCAGTTTAAGACAGGGCTTTGTTTACCTGCAGGCAACACAAACACACAGACACAAATAAGACTGCAGGACTGGTCAACACCCCGCTCATCCCCAGACCAAGCCACACTGTCCTCCCTGTACCCAGGGCCCATCTCAGCTTCCAGAAACGGCCTGTAGTCCTGGGAAGCAGAGGGCATGCTGAGGAGGGTCCCAGCTCTGCTCAGCGACCTGGGCTCAGACACCCAGTGTCCCACCCCCAGCCCCTCAGAGCTCCTTACAGCAAGAGCAGTACAACAGCTCCATGACCCGCAAGCAGTTGTCCAGCAGAGCTTTGGGCCGCACTGGCTTCAGGCTTCCTGGGGCACTCAAGAGGGACAACACTGCTTCCACCTGGGGGCTGACCTCCACACCCTGAAAGGGAGGAAACCTTAAGGACCACAGGTGCCACGCCCAGCCTGTGAAGAGATCCCAGGAGAGCTCTGGGGGGCGGGGTGGTGGTGGCTGTCCTGCCTGGAAGAAGGACAAGAGATCCCTGTGACCAGGACGCCTGAGAGCCATTTCTCTCCTTCCTGCAGGTGCCATTTTTCCTGGGAGGAGCTCCCTCGATGTCCCTCACTCAAGCACAACACACAGAAGCTTCTCTTTTCCTCTCCTAGGGGCAGGCCAGACAGGGAGGAGGTGGGGGCATCCTTGCTGTTCTAGCCCAGGCCCGGCCACCACCATATGAGAAGTCCCTATCCCAGGGACACTGTCCTTCAGGATGCAAAGACCCACACCGACTCCCATGAAGAAGAGACAGGACCCTCAGGAAGGTCGGTCATATCGTGAGGCGCACTAGGCACACTGACAGGGGCTGGGTCTCCGGCTCCAAGCTCGGGGGCTCCTCTCCACAACACTTAACAAAAGGAACTTGGTGTGGGGAGCACCAGGCACCATGGGAGGGACAGAGCAGGGGCCAGAACTGTCGTAGAAGACACAGAGCACGGGACTTCCCTGGTGGCGCAGTAGTTAAGAATCCGCCTGCCACTGCAGGGGACACGGGTTCAAACCCTGGTCCGGGAAGATCACACATGCCACAGAGCAACTAAGCCCATGCGCCACAACTACTGAGCCCTTGTATGCCACAACTACTGAAGCCCACGCGCCTAGAGCCCGTGCTCCGCAACAAAGACAAGCCACCGCTGAGAAGCCCACGCACCACAACATAGAGTAGCCCCCGCTCGCCGTAACTAGAGAAAGCCCGCGCACAGCAACGAAGACCGAACGCAGCCAAACATAAAAATAAATAAATGTATGTATAAATAAATAAATAATACTTAAAAAAAAAAAAAGACATGGAGCAGGAGGAAACACGGGACCTGAGCTGGGGAAGGACGTTCCTAAAAGTGAAGTGTTCTAGATTGAACTGTGTGTCCCCCTGCCCCACAACCCCCTAAAAAAGCTCTGTCCAAGGCCCAAATCCCTAGTACCTGAGAATGTGACCTGTTTGGAAATGGGGTCTATGCAGATGTAATTAAGTCAGGGATCTCCAGGTGAGATCAGTCTGGATTTATGGTGGGCCCTAGATCCAATGACTGTTGTCCTTGTAAGGGAAAGGACACAGGTCCTTCTCTGGGACACAGAGGGAGAGGCCATGTGAAGACAGAGGCGGAGGGTGGAGTGATGCTGCACAAGCCAAGAACACCACCAGCCACCAGAGGCTGGAAGAGGTGGGAGAGATCCTCCTCTGCAGCCTTTGGAGGGAGCATGGTCCTGCTGACACCTTGATTTCAGACTTCTGGTCTACAGAACTGCGATAGAATAATTTCTGTTGTTTTAAGCCACCAGTTGGTAGTAATTTGTGACGGCAGTCCCCAAAAACTAATATACAAAGGCTTAGAGAGAGAAGTGAGGGTGGCAGGAGGGCCAAGGGGCCCATGCCCATGGCCCTCTCCCTAGAGGGAGGACCCACTGCCCCATAGATGTTGGGCACATATGGAACGGGCCGTCAACCATTAACATTGTGAGAAAGAAGAGGTTAAAAGTTGGTTCAGGGACTTCCCTGGCGGTCCAGTGGTTAAGACTTCGCCTTCCAATGCAGCGGGTGCGGGTTCAATCCCTGGTTGGGGAGCTAAGATCCCACATGCCTCATGGTCAAAAACAAAAGCATAAAAGAGAAGCAATATTGTAACAAATTCAATAAAGACTTTGAAAATGGTCCACATCAAAAAAAAAAAAAAAATCTTTAAAAAAACAAGCTGGTTCAATCTGAAGAGCCCAGGTGGGCAGGGCCTCAGTCTACCCACAATCTCCTTCCCAGCTCAGCAGAGCTCACAGAGCCAGAGACACTCCCAAGAAAAACTGAGGATGGAACACAGTCCGTTCCCCAGGTCAGCTCCAACGCGCCCCCCCCCCTCCGCCCACAGGCACAAGAAAGCCACCAAGGAAGTGGCTGGGTCTCCCGGTCCCCGCCAGAATGGAGAGCCTCCACAAAGTTCTCGGCAGCTGCAAAAGCAGGTGCTGGCCCCGAGCCCTGGTGTCAGCAGCAGCTCACAGTTGGCATCCTGTTGGCTGTTCTTGCTGGGCAGCAGGTGGGGCCCCAGGGCAGTTGTGTACCAGGGTCCTAAGGAGGGCTGGGGGGGTCAGTAGGGCAAGGCGGGGGTGTGGGGAGGGGTCCCATGGCACACACATGGCCTGCGAGGATACACACCGACCCCGTCACCTTACTCTCTAGGCTTTTTGGAAGACGTATCCCCCAGGCCTCCGATCAACACTGCTGAACAGGCAGCGATCGGGAACCTCTATTATTATTATTAATTAAGATCCATTTACGTTAGGGTTCACTCTTTCTGTTGTACATTCAATGGGCTTTGACAAATGCAATTATACTCACCGTTACACCATCATACAGAAAAGTTTCATCGCCCTCAACCCCCCTGTGCTCCACCCATCTATCCCTCCCCCTTTCCCTCTTTTCTTAGATGTGGAAATAAAGTGAGAGGGATCAATGACTCGCCCAGGGTTGCAGAGCATAACAGGGTCTCAGGCGCATCTCTTGCCCCCCAAGCCCAATCCACCACCCTGCCCCCCCCATTTCTCCCACACTCTCCAGGACATGCCAGAACTTTCCATGCCTTTACCTTCTCCCTTGATAGTTTTTGGCCACACACACACACACACACACACACACACACACACGCACGCACCCACCCTGGCCACCTGCACCTCCGCACGGCTCACCGGGAGGCCTTGCTTGACATCCAGCAGCAGCGTATGTACCTCCTCCAGGTACTTCCAGGATGGATGGCCCTCGAGCAGCACCTCCTGCACCCACTCAGTAGCACTGAGACTCACCAAGACCCACAGATACCGCAGCTCCTGTTGGCTCACCCGGGCCCTCTGCTGCAGGGACAGGAGAAATTATTGAAACCCCAGACAGGAGCCTCTGGGCCTGCCCCCCACAGCTCTGACCGCCCCCCACATTTGCCCTGCACAGGGGGCAGACCACGGGCATCCACTGTGGATGAGGTGGGAGGGGCACCTGGGGCCTGAGCCAAGGGCAGGCTTGCTTGAGGGGCCAGGAAAGACCCCTGGCAACAGGATCTTCCCAGACCAATGTGCCTCCAGGCAGGGCCCACAGGATGTCCCAGGAGGCGGGGGCCTCCCCATTCCAGAGGGGGGATTCTCACCAGCCTGGTGATGTTGGCCATTCGGAGTACCCCCTCATAAGGCACACTGACCCTGTAGTTGATGGGGAAGTAGTGTTTCTGGGGAGATACAAGAACAAAGGATGAGATCAGAGTCAGAAATTGCTCAGACTCCCCCAACCTCGGAGAAGAATTTGATGCAGGACCGGCCCTTGATGGCAGCGGTGGTCCTCTACAGAAAACATGTGCTTGGCTCCCAGTTGGGATAAAGACAGCTCTTTCCTCTGGGACACAGGGAAGGTGAAACAAAACAAAACATGTTAAGGCATAAGTCTCGGGCCAAAATGTAGGATGAGAAGCTTACTACTCCTAGAGAATCATATCCTTTAGGAGGGGTGAGGAAAATGACTTTAAAAGATTGCTCTAAATCTTATCATGGTGATGGTTTCATGACTTTGCAAATACACTAAAAGCCATAGAAATGTACACTTGAACAGGTGAGGTGTGTGGTATGTGAACTATATCTCAAAAATCTGTTAAAAAAAAAAAAGACCTACAGAGCCACATGTGATGTGGTCCACCCTATAAAAAGAATCAAACATTCTAATTTCTAGGTCCTTATCTCCCCTGCTAAATAGTGCCTGGGGTTCCCCCAAGGTTTCCTGGAATCCATTCCTGAGTCACTGGGTGAGTGCCACGTGGAGGTGGGATCAAAGGTCAGATCAGACAGGAGGGTTGGAGGCCCCAGGGATGGATGGCAGGAACAGGGACAGGAAGTGCAGATGAGGCACATGGGTGTGTGTGAGGGAGAAGGGAGCCATGGCAGGCACAGGCCTGACACAAGTCCAAGGAGAGGGACTGAATTTCCAGGTCCTTATGTCCCATGAGCCACAGGGCTTTGGAAGAGGGACACAACGAGTGCCCACGTGGTTACCATGTACTGAAGGCGGTTCCGGTACTGCAGCTTGTCGCGCAGAAAGCCAGTGATGGCACACTCCTCGCTCCGGGTTAAGGGCCACACCTCCAAACCCTCGTTCCCCAAGGCCATGCCCAGGAGGATTCCGAGATCTGTGGACCGCACAAAACAACACGTGAAAAAAAAAAAAAAAAAACAACACGTGAGCCACCTGCATGGCTCCCACACTGCCCGGGTACGCAGAGCTGTGCACACAACCTCCCTTTTCCCAGTCACAAGTCCTCTCGGAAGGGTCGGGGTGGGGAGCGCAGCGTCCCAAGGAGGCCTTCCCAGAGCCAGGAATACTCTCCCTGCGGTCCGGGCTGCAGGACAGCAATGCAGGCAAGCATGAACCGTCCAGCCCAGCCACCTCCCACCCCAGGCTGGCAAAGCCCCCCAGGAGCCACGCCCTGGGATTGGTCTCCAGTCTCCTTCCCACTCCTGCCCCAGGGGGCAGGCACAGCCTCCTTTCCATGGCAACCCCTGCCCCTCATCTAGGGCCTACGAGTTTTCAAAGCCTTTCACTGCATTTTCCATCCAGAGACCTTGACATGCCTCTTAATTAGAGGTACCAGCAGGTTTGTAGCAGCCCTTCCAGTCTGGTCTTTCCGGGATGCTGAGCGAACCTCACTCAGGCTGTTTCTCCTCCCCGCTAACAAACGATACAAACATTACCAGCCTTCACCACTGCAGGTCACTGTGACTTTAAAAACAGTGTGATTTCTGTGTAACTGAACAGACTTACAAAAATTATCTGAGAGAATTTGCAACAAACATGAACAAGGGTTAAGTTGATGGGAGCAGAAAGAACAAAATATAGATGGGCAAGAGATGTATCTGAAACTCAACCTCGCTAACAAATTCACGTTAAAACAATCGATACGTTTCACCTACCAAATGGAAAGACTTTTTTGTTGTTGTTGCTGTTGTTTTATTTTATTTTAATAACATTTGCTGCTGGCAAAATAGTGAGGCAGATGCTCTCATCCTGGAAAGCAATTTGGCAATTTTTGTTATTCATGGACTTAATGCCCACACACTTCGACCCACTAAGCTTTAAAATTGTCCACACCCTTTGACCCATTAAACTCATTTCTAGGAATAAATGTGAAGGAGAAGAAAAGAGAGACATAACCAAAAGATCTGTGGACAAAGTCTTCCTTTGCAGTATTATTTTGTAATAGTGAACATCTGTAAGTGGCCTAGATGTTCAATAATAACGAATGTAGCCAATAAAAATCACATTGCCAAAGAATACTTATGATATGCTTATATGATAAGAAAAATACTTTTGATGTGCTTAGCAAAGTTTTAAAAAGCATGATTCAACACACTGTATCTGGGTATAAAGCATGACTTAAATTTTGTTAATTATGTATATATGTGCATAGAAAACGCAATGGAAAGAAATGCACCAAATCTCTATGGGAGATTTTTATGTTCTCCTTTATATTTTTTAGGATATATTTTACATTCTATAATTAGTATCTATTACTGTTATGGTCAAAAGCAGTATTTTTTTTTCCTTTCCTCCCTCTTCCTTCCTTCCTCCCTTCCGTCCTCCTCCTTCGCTCTCTCTCTCTCTTTTTCTCTTTCTTCCTTTTTTCCCCCCAGATAGCCAGGCAGGCTGAGTCACCTCTTTGATTCGCCCCTGGTTGTGAGCAGCAACTACTGACTGGACTTTCTGCCCTCACTTCCCCGGCACTTAGGGAGACTTTTGTTCTTAAACCCTCACGGGCCTGAGCCTGCTGACACTCACTTTCCCACCCCCTTCTCGGTGCTGCTGCCATGCCTGTGCCCCTGCTGGGCCAGAAGCTCAGGTTCACTCAAGCCCATGCCCCTTATGGCCTACAGCCCACCAGCCCTTCCCCTCATAGAAGTCTGACACCACATTTTTTGCAAACTTGCAATCCATCTTGCACTTTCTCTGTCTCTCTCTTCCCATATTCTCAACCCAATATTTGGACAAGGGAACAGATAAACCAGTGTTCCTGCTTGCTTTCTCCCTTGTCTCTACATCATTAACACTCTCAGCTTGGCACCCCTGCTGGTCAGGATCATTCCTGCCTCAGGGTTTAGGCTCACACGTTGCCCCTGCCCTGGGTATCCTCTCACACGACAGACCCCTTCCCAAGGTCTCACCAAGACTCCTTCCCTCCCCAGAGGCTCCCCTGCCTACGCCAGCCACCAACCCCTGTCTCTAGCACCATCTGTCCAATTCACTGTCTTTTTTTTTTTTTTTTTTGGCTGCTTTGGGTCTTCATTGCTGTGTGCGGGCTTTCTCTAGTTGCAGTGAGCGGGGGCTACTCTTCATTGCGGTGCGCGGGCTTCTCATTGCAGTGGCTTCTCTTGTTGCGGAGCATAGGCTCTAGGCGCGCGGGCTTCAGTAGTTGCGGCACGTGGGCTCAGTAGTTGTGGCTCGCGGACTCTTAGAGCACAGGCTCAGCAGTTGTGGCGCACGGGCTTAGTTCCTCCGTGGCATGTGGGATTTCCGGGACCAGGGCTCGAACCTGTGTCCCCTGAATTGGCAGGTGGATTCTTAACCACTGTGCCACCAGGGAAGCCCCTCACTCACTGCCTTGACCAGACAACACAGCAGCCAGTGTGTGAATGCACAGCACTGTGAACCACAGAGAGGACGTGTTATCAGCACTTTGGCGTTCATGTCAAGCAGGGAACCGGGATCAGGCATCTGGGTCTCCTGTAGAAGCTGGTAATGGCTCACCCAGGGTATCTGATTGAGCAGGTATGAGGTAGTGGCAGGGGGAGTGCAGAGAATCTGCATTTCCAACAAGTCCTGAAGTAAAACTGATGCTGCTGGTCTGGGGACCGCACTTGGCAGAAAGTGACAGTTTACAAATTGGTGTCCTTAGGGCCACATTCTGGTTCACAGAGATTTCACATAAAAATCCAAATTTCCATCTTTTCTTTAAAAATCAGTATCCCTGTCCACACTGAGTCTTCTTTCCAATGTGGCAGTCACCCTGTAGCTGCCCACTCCACCCCAAGTCCTACCCCACCTGCCCTCATCTGATTCCCAGTCTGGAGCCTTTGGGGGCCTGGCCACTAGCCTCGTAGCTGAGACTTACAGAGCCTCTGTGCTTCCCAGCCTGGCACACATGGGTTGCCCCCAGAAACTCTGTCCATAGATGATCTGCCTTCTCCCAAACTTAGACCTCCTCCAAGTCTGCAGCCCAACTACCATTCCCAGTTTTAAGCTCCCTTCCTGTTGCCTCCACTCCGAAAAACAGGCCAGCAAACAGGTAACTAGGCAGGGACAGCACAGCTGTAGCCTCACGTACCCTCTGCATTCTGAAAGCCCCACAGTTAGTGCAACCCTGGTGGGGAGGCCCGCCGTGCCCCGCTATTTCCACAGTTAAGAGGCCTGTAAGACAGAAAAGGAGACTGAAGAAAGAGTAACGTCCTGTGCGCAATGACAAATGGGGCTTGTCCACCACCCCCATATCTGTGCCTGTGTGTGTAAATACCCCCAAATTTATGTTCACCAAGAACCTCAGATGCAACCTTATTTGGAGATAGGGTCTTTGCAAATGTTATTAAGAATCTCCAGATGAAATCCTCTTGAATTTAGGGTGGGCCCTAAATTCAGTGACCGGTGTCCTTATAAGAAGAAGAAAGGACACAGAGACACATGTAAGGAAAGACCATTCACGTGGCCTTCGCAGATGAAGGCAGATTGGAGTGATGCAGCCACAAGCCAAGGAATGCCAGAAGCCACCAGAAGCTGGAAGAGGCAAGAAGGATCCTCCCCTAAAGCCTTCAGAGGGAGCATAACCTTGACAACTTGATTTCAGACTTCTGACCTCCAAAGCTGTGACAGAATACATTTCTGCTGTTTTAAGCCAAGATTGTGGCAATCTGTTACGGCAGCCACTCCTTTTCCAGCACCCCAGCCCCGCTCTGAGCCCCTAATCCTCAGCCCTCCCTCCCCCTCGCCCCACGGCCAGTCCTTGCCAATCCTGTGCTCTGCTTTCATGAGCTTTGTCCCCTCTGCCAGGCCTCTTCATTCTCACTTCCATCTCCAGAAGGAACCCTCATCACCTCATCACATCCTGCCCAGGAGGTGTAACAGCAACTCCCCAAAGCACGGCCAGATTGATCTCTCGAAAGCAGAGTAACTCTCAATCTCAGCTCCCACGCCCAGGTCACGGACCTTCCAGGGCTCCCTGTTACCTCATGAATTAGCCACTCTTCACCCTGGCTTTCAAGGCCTCAGCCACCTGAGCCCAAACCAGCTTTCCAGCCTGGCCTCTCACGCTCTCACTGCTGAGCCTTTGCTCCGCTGCTCCCTCTCCCTGGAAGGAACACCGTCCTCACCTCCCCACGCACCTCTGAGACCATTTCAAGTGGCACCTCGCCGTGCTGTTTCTCCTGCTCGCCCTGCTCCTCAGGACTTGGAAGATTCCAGAACACTGGGTCTGGGTCCTTCCACCTGTTCTGAACATCCAGACCCTTTGCAGTACCCTCCACAAGGGCCAGGGTGGACCCAGCTCCTCTGAGAATCCCTCACAGGGTCAGACCCTGGACCTCATGCAAGGGGCACATAGTTCCTAGCAACTAACTCCATGCCAGGTGTTAGAGAGACATGCACGAGATAGCCCAGGTCCTTGTCGCCATGGCAGTGTCTCTCCAGTGGGCATGTGGGCGGCACCAGAAAAAAATATGTTGAATTTAAGTCAATTAAATTGAATCTTGGAGTCTGAAGGGAGCTTGGTCTGGCCTCCCACCAGCAGGCAGGCCTGAGAGACTTGTCGATTCTTTTTCTTTTCTGTCCTCATTTCAACTATTTTTCTTTTCCCCAAGGACACTGTTCTCTTTCTGCCTTTTGATTTAGTTCTTTATGGAGGGAAAGGCAGAGAGAGCAGTTTGCACTTCTCCCATGTGTCTCGGGGCCCAGGCAACTTCACAAGCCCCCACCCCTGGCTGGTCACGCCCAGGGAGGCCAGAAATCATCTCTCTGCCACCTCCATCCCCACCGTACTCCCCAATGAGCACCAATGAGTCTGAGCAGGTGAGACGCTGCCTCCTACCCCCAGTGCCTGCCCTGTCCCTGTGACCCACTGACTGTGCCCACCCAGCCTAAGGCTCATACCCACCTTGCCCGTCTGAGCTGCAGTCAGCTGGAGACAGGGCAGACGGCGTGGGAGTCCCCAAGGGTGCCTGCCATTAAGCTGGGAAGCATCTCAACTTCTCACCAGGAAGAATGCCCTGGTTGCCATGGTTACAAAGCCTGGCTCTGGGCCAAGCTCTCCCTGGGCAGTCCCCACAGACCCCCCCCCCAGTACTCACAGCGCAGCCAGGCGAATCCCCGGGGCATGGTGGTGCGCTGGGTCTCCCAGAGAGCAGAGGTGATGTCCCCAGCAATGTGTCTATCCACAGAGGCCTGAGTGGGGCCTACATGGCCTCGGGTCAGCAAAGGTGGCCCAAAGTCGAGGAAGGACTAGCCACGGAGGAGTGGCCCAGCAGGAGGTGGCAGGTGCTCCTGGGCAGGGCTCACCCTTATCTGCCTGGCAGTGCAGAGGGCAGCCGGGGGGCGGTGGCTCTGAGTCCCATGGCAGCCAAGACCTGGCCTGAAACGGCTGCCTCGGGGTCTTCCTTCCAAGCAGGAGGAGAGAGTCCCCAGCAGGCCCCTCGGAATCTGAGGCTGGGTTGTGCTTTCTCTGATTTCTCTGTCTGCAGCTGCTCAGTGTGAAATCTGGCTCTGGAAAGAGAAAGGAGGAGAGAAACTGATTATGTAAGAGTGGTGCTGCCACTCAGCCATCAGCCACAGGCGCGCAGAGCCTACTGTGCAGGCTGCACCCACCGCTGGCCGGGACCACCAGGGAAGGCCAGAGGTGCACAGCCCTGCCCCGGTTGCTGGCTACTTGGGGACACAGGAATGACAGAACAACCAAAGGGCAGCCCCAGCCCAGGAGTAAGTTAAAAGGACACCAGCTGACAGCCTGGGGCCAAAACGAAAGCAGGACCAAGGAATGAATGAGCTGTGTGGGTTAAATCAAGGGAGCTTCCTGAAGGCGGGAGATCACAGGTAAAGTACATGAATGGCTTGAACTGCGGGGAGGTTAAAAAAAAACCCAGAATCGGGCTCTGCACCCCTCCATGCCCCAGAGAACACTCTCCTAGCCACCTCCTCACTCAGAAATCTCCCAGAAAGGCTCCCACCACGTACCCTAGACCACCAGACCGGGACAGAGAAGCTGAGAAAGTGAGAACTGGGGTCATGGTCACCTTCATGCCACACCACAGAGCCCTAATCCTGGGTGCCATCTGTGGTCCCACCCATCCACTGAAATGGGGGAGATGTGCGGAAGCCAGGAAGGCACAAAGTGGGAGGTACCTAATGGCACAGAAGCCGGAGCCTTCTCCCAGGGAGAGGGGCACAGAGGAAATCACCTAAAAGAATGGGGGTGTCTGTCTGTCTGTCTCTCTCTGGTGGGGAAGAGGGAGGGGGAGGAGTTTGAGAATGGCCTCTCCCACCCCACCCCCACTCTACCCAGGGCTTTGGAACAGCCCTTTAGAAGCTCATGCAGAGAAAAGTTGGACAAGTAAAAGTTGGAATATTATTCTACATAATTCAATTGCAAATAGCATTTTCAAAGTCACAGTAGCAAGTAAAAAGTGAAAGTTAGTTTAACAGAAGCATGACTGAAGGATCCTGGAAGGACAAGGGCCTGGGGAGGGTGCACATGAGTGGTGAGGGAAGCGGGTGACAAGGAGCTACACGTTCCTTAGTGGGGAGGCAACAGATAGTGCCTCAAACGAATGAGCAACACGAGCACATATATAACTGAATCACTTTGCTGTATACCTGAAAGTAACACAACATTGTAAATTGACTATACTTCAATTAAAAAGAAAAAAGTTACGGATGGGGGTACGTGTGAAGAATTAGGGCCACTTTTGCAACCAATCTATTACACCTACACAGAGCATTCTTCTCCCCAAAGTGACCAGGCCTGACCTGAGGCCCAGGGGACAGAGCACTGGACCACCTGCTCCAGCTTGACAGCTTCCCTGTAAGCAGGGCAGGGCCACGAGGGTCTCAGAGACATTCCAGGCAACCTCCACATCCAGAGGTGAGGAAACAGGCCTGGGGGGAGGGAGCTGTCCCAAGGCCTCATGCCCAACCCCATCGTCCTCCTGTGAATCAAGCTCCTCTGCCCTTTGAGAATGTGGGGAGGGACATTCTAGCAACTAGCAGCCCTGTAGAGTGAGTCACAGATGCTCAGTTTACGGAGGAGGTGGATGAAAAATAGGGCTAAGTTGAGGCCACAGAAAAAAGAAGATAAACAAAAGCATAAAAAGGAATGATTTTTTTCTGGTTAATTCCATTAGCCCAGGGTCTATATTTCTGAATAACATTTCATTCACCACCTCTGCTCAGTGGAAAGAGGATTCTAGACCTGGGGCACATGAATAACACAGGACCCACTCTTGGCCACATCTGAGTAGTAAGTCTCATTCAGAGAGATGGGCTGAGTCAGATCCCTGACTGGCTCCCTCGGCTCCCGTATCCCATTCAGTACAAGTCCAATCTGCAAAGGTGGCTCTATTTCCACCCCCCTTTAATCTGGGCTTGGCCGTGTGACTCGCTCTGACCAGTGGGATGTGCCTATGCCTTTGGCTTGTCCTCTCTTGCTGCTGGGAGGGCTTCATGTCATGTAAACAATTCCGGGCTAGCTTCCTATAGGAGGCCTCAGGCATTTGAGTGAGACCGTCCTAAACTAGTCCATCTGGCCCCTTTCAAGTCAGCCCAGAATCCCAGCTGCCCCACAGAATCATGAGAAATAATCAGTGTTTGTTTATTTTAAACCACTAAGCTTTGGGGGTAGTCTGTTACACAACAAAAACTAATTGATACAGCCTGAAAGTGCATCATCTCTGCAAATGCTCTGTAAAAAGCCAGGTCAATTCTAAGCCAAAGCATCTTCTGGGAGTGGTTCCAGTGGCTTCTCTCTGAATGAAGCTCAGGAAGCCTTGGGGGCAAAGGTGTGCTTTCATTGCCCTAGGGCCCAGCTCAGCATCTTCTATTGGAGGATGAACTTTCTGGAATTCAATACTAATCCAGACTTTTTTTCCCCTCTACCATATTTGATTTATGTTTTGAAACTTTATTATAGTATTGTTAAACAAACCCAAATAAGGTAGAATAGGATAATGGATCCTCATACAGCTATTATTCAGCTTCAAAAATTATCAATATTCTGTCATTCCTGTTTCACCCATCCTCCATTTTTTTCCCTAGAGTATTTTAAAGCAAATCCCAGACAGGCCATTTTACCAGTATGTAAGGATTTTTAAAAAATATATAATCGCATTACTACTATTGCACATTTCCAAATCAATAATCCCTTATATCATCTAATACAGAATCCATGTTCAAATAAACCCACACAACTAATTCACTACAAAGGTACCAAGAACATACAATGGCGAAAGGATAGTCTCTTCAATAAATGGAGTTGGGAAAACTGGACATGCAAAAAAATTAAACTACACCACTATCCCACACCATACACAAAAATCAACTCAAAGTGGATCAGAGACTTTAATGTAAAACGTGAAACCATAAAACTCCTAGAAGAAAACATAGGCAGTATACTCTTGGGCATCAGTATTACCAATATCTTTCTAGATATGTCTCCTCAGGCACGGGAAACAAAAGCAAAAATAAACAAACGGGACCGTATCAAACTAAAAAGCTTCCGCACAGCAAGGGAAACCACCAACAAAACAAAGACAACCTACCAAATGGGAGAAGATATTTGTAAATCATATGTCCAATAAGGGATTAATATTCATAATAAAGAACTCATACAATTCAACAACAGCAAAAAACAAACAACCTGATTAAAAAATGGGCAGAGGGGCTGAATACACATTTTTCCAAAGAAGACATACGGATAGCCAACAGGCACATGGAAAGATGTTCAACATCACTAATTATTAGGGAAATACAAATCAAAACCACAGTAAGATACTACCTCACATCTGTTAGAACTGCTGTCATCAAACAGGCAAGAAATAACAAGTGTTGGTGAGTATGTGGAGAAAAGAGAACACTCATTCAATGTTAGTGGAACTGTAAACTGGTAAAGCCAGAGTGTTACCAGTACAGAGTTTTCTCAAAAAATTAAGAATAGGACTACCATACGACCTAACTATTTCACTTCTGGGTTTTTTTGTTTATTTGTTTGTTTGTTTGTTTGGGCCACGCCATGTGGCTGTGGGATCTTAGTTCCCCGACCAGGGATTGAACCTGGGCCCACGGCAGTGAAAGCACAGAGTCCTAACCACTGGACCGCCGGGGAATTCCCAACACTTCTGGGTATTTTTTTTATATATATAACTTTTTTTTTCTTTTTTCCTTCCTTTCTTTCTTTTTTGGCTGCTTTGGGTCTTCATTGCTGGCTTGCGGGCTTTCTCTAGTTGCAGTGAGTGGGGGCTGCTCTTTGTTGCAGTGCACAGGCTTCTCATTGCAGTGGCTTCTCTTGTTGCAGAGCATGGGCTCTAGGCGTGAGGGCTTCAGTAGCTGTGGCACGCAGGCTCAGTAGTTGTGGCCCGTGGTCTCTACAGCGCAGGCTCAGTAGTTGTGGCGCACGGTCTTAGTTGCTCCATGGCATGTGGGATCTTCCCAGACCAGGGCTCGAACCCGTGTCCCCTGCATTGGTAGGTGGATTCTTAACCACTGTGCCACCAGGGAACTCCCCACAACGTTTCTAGGTATTTATCCAAAGAATATGAAAATACTAATTTGAAAAGAGATATGCACCCCTATGTTCATCATAGCATTATTTTAAATAGCCAAGATATGGAAACAACCTAAGTGCCAATAAATGGATGAATAAATAAAGAAGATGTAGCATATATTATATATACAATGGAATACTACTCAGCCATTAAAAAGATGAAATCTTGCCATCTGTGACAACACTGATGCACCTTGAGGGTATCAAGCTAAGTGAAATAAGTCAGAGAAATACAATACCATATGATTTTGCTCACGTGGAATATAAAAAACAAACGAACAAACCAAGCCAAACAAAAACAAACATGTAGATACAGAGAACAGAGTAGTGGTTACCAGAGCGGAAGGGTGAGAAGGGCAAAATGGGTAACATATGTTGTTATGGTTGGCAACTGTATGGTGATGGATGGAAACTAAATTTTTGGTGGTCAGCAGGCTGTAGTGTATACAGAAGTAGAAATATAATGCTGCATACATGAAACATGTAATATTATACACCAATGTTACATCAATTAAAAATAAATTTTAAAAAAAAGAATCCACATTCAATTTTCCCTGGTTGTTTAAAAAACGTCTTTTTTTAAGTTGCTTTGTTTGAATTAAGAGCCCAGTAAGTTGGTCCACTGATTGATGGGTCTCTATGTCTTTTTTCCTCTCTTTTTAAAAAAAAATTTAAGGAACTTCCCTGGCGGTCCAGTGGTTAAGACTTCGCCTTCCAACACGGGGGATGGGGCTTCGATTCCTGGTCAGGGAGCTAAGAACCCACATGCCTCGTGGCCAAAGAACCAAAGCATAAAACAGAAGCAATATTGTAACAAAGTCAATAAAGACTTTAAAAATGGTCCCCATCAAAAAAAAAAACCTAAAAAAATTAATTAATTAAGATATAACTCACATGTCATAAAGTCTGCCATTCTGAAGGGCACAATTCAGTGGAGATTTTTAGTATATTC